TTGAAATGAGCCTCCCAAGGTGGTATGGCTAGTCATTGTCAGGTTGGGCAGCCACTCTCCTGGCTATGGAAGCTCTCAGAGTGAATCACTTTCTTTACCTCAGAGTTTTTTCTGCCCTCCGGAAACAGATGACGACATGGACCCTTCCAAAAAGGTCTTTCTAGCTCTAGTTACCTGCCTACCCCAGTCCAAATGTGTTCCAAAAGCGAAGACCGAACTCTTGAAGCTGACTTTCTCTACCGGCAACACCGGAAAGCGCTGAAGTCCTAGCCTGTAGTGTCTTTTGTCATTTTTAAGTGTTCCTGGAAAAGGTCCATTATATTTTCCTTCCACTTTTCCATGTACTTTTTGTAGCTCCTTTGTGTTTGGTCCTCCCAAGGACACGAGCCCTATACTAAGGCTACATTTTAAAAATCAAATCATAAAGACCAAAAGTTAAAGTGGACCTATAAAGTCCACCCAAACCTTTCCATTGGGACAGAAAGAATCTTTTATTCCATTTCATATGTTCTCAGTATTAAACCATTGTTCTTAAAGCACAGTGTCTACCGTAGTGAGAAGAAACTGACCTGAGAAAAGAGGAGATGTGCACTGTGAGTTGACAATGAAGCTCCCACCAGGGACACCTGGAGAAGAAAGGGCATTGGGTTCAGCATGCTGGGGAGTTTCCCTACCGGACCTCGAGGGCATTTCTGCATAGGATACATCAACCCAGACCCCCAGGTCACAGACCGCCCTAAGCGCTTTCAAAGACCCAGTTTCCCACGAAAAGTGTAGGAAGCTCCCAAGCCACAGTTTTTATCCAGTTCTGGGTGATACCGCTCATCAACATTGCCTTTCGTGTAGCTTGAAGTTTTCAAATGGACAGAGCAAGCACCCATCTTTCCAGCTCTTGATGGAAAAGGAGCGAATTTTGTACTCTGGTACCTTTCCATTGCTGAGGCTCAAGGAGAAACAATCAAGACATATGCCCCTGAACTTGTTGTATCCCGGGACTCCTAGTAAGCAGAAAGATTTTGTGCATGCCACTCAAGCCTGCAAGTCACCCAGAAAGATTAGGTATTACCCTCAATTTAGAGAATAAGAAAGAGAGCCATCCCGTTCTCTACTCATCCCATTCCTACCCCCTATCAAAAGAGCCCTGGTGGAGCAAGGGTTAAGTGCTTGTCTGCTAACTAAAAGGTAGGCAGTTCGAACCCAAAAGCCCCTCCCTCCACAGGAAGAAAGGCCTGGCAATCTGTTCCCATAAAGATTACAGCCTAGAAAAGGACTGGGCAGTTCTCTTGCGAATCTGCGTGGCCTCAGCAGTGAGCAGCAACAGCACCCAGTGCCAACAAGCCTTCTTTTCCTGAGAATATCTTCAAATCCTGAGGAACGATCCTCTGTCTGAAGTCATCTTTAAACAACTCTTAGCTAAATTGCTATAAGATTGGTTGCCCTGAGCACTGTACTCTTTTAAAGCACTCTCTTTCTCTGAGATATCCAATTGTCAGCAATAACTCTCGCGCATAGGTTAGATGTGTAGGGGATGGTGAGTCTCATTCAATGGTGGAGAACTAATACTGATAGGGAACGGTGTTGCTGCAGGGAGAATGTAATCAGTGAGACTGGATTAGACATGGAGACATTGATGAATACTGTGTGTCCTGCTGTGTATTTTCACTAAAATCAATGTTTTTACAAAGAAAAGCAGGCAGAAAATAAAACAAACCCAATAGTGAAAAGGGGTCAAGACAGGGGGGGCTTTTCACCCGAATTCACATGCACTGTTGTTGCTGCTACGTGCCATCAAGTTGATGCTGACTCTGAGCAACGCTGTGTGCCACAGAACAAACCCCGCCTTCTCCAGCACCGTCCTCACAACCCTGCTGTCGGAGCCCACTCGGATAGCCACTGTGTCGGTCCGTCTTGGAGAGGGTTTTCCTCTTTGGGGCTGTTCTATTGTAGCAAGCATGATGTCCTTCTCCAGGCCCGTTCGCTCCTGAGAACATGTCTAAGGTTTGTGGGACAAAATCTCTCCCTCTTCCCTTCCAAGGAACATTCTGTCTATACTTCCTCCAAGACAGATTCGGTTGTTCGTCCCACAGTCTGTGCTGCTTTGAATAGCCTTCATCAATTGACACTCATCAATCTTCTGTGGTCTTCCTTAGCCACTGTCCAATTTTCACATGTATACGAGGCTATGAAAAATACCTATGAAAAGCTTGGATCAGGTGTTCCGTGCCCTTTAGATATTTCTGTGCATAGCTTATACTTCCTTTTAAATTCCTTGAGGGGGGTATACAATAAATTGTTCGTGGTAGATATTCAGTACACTGAGTTAGATGAACAAGTAGCTAAATCTTCTATGTTCACACCACAGATTCACCACGCAGACTCGCCAATGTCAAGCAGTGAAACAGAACATTTGAAAGCATGTTTGCCTTATTTATAGACAATTCCTTCCCAACAACTCTATTTTTCTCCCACCTGTGACCCAGGAGCGTATTCCTCTTTCCCCTGTTGAGTAGACATACCTACCACCCCAGTACCTATCTAGGAAATTTTATATAATAATGCAAACATATGTTCCCAGAAGACTTTGAGTAGAGTTTGTCTTTCTTATTCAGTGTTATTTTTGGAAGAATGAGTTTTAAAAAATGCCCACTAAATAGACACGATCCCAGACACAGGACTGATGCCTGTTCAATAAAGAGAGATGGCCAATTCGACCTCAGATTCCCAGAGCACATCCAATGCGGCAGTCTTAGTGAACCACTGGGCCTGTCCGCCTTTGATGGCCTCCCGAACGAAATGGACTTCTGTGAAGTGTGACTGGAGACCTTATCCAAGGAGCAGGCCAGCGAGGCCACTGAAGCCTGAGTCTGCATTCTCAAGGCAGCGTAACCGAACCCGAGCTGCACACGCGGAGGGGGGCCAGAAGGCTATCTGGTGGCAAGGGCACGTCTGGGGTTGTCTGGGGTTGTAGAATAACAGCACATGGCTGTAATGGAACCCCATCCCAGGACATTTGGCTACTTAATCATCTCAGTGACCCATCTTTTATTCATAAACATGGAGGGATGACATTTGCTTTGGCTGCTCACGTTGACCTTTGAGTTTATATCAATATTACACCATCCCAGCTTTTTCTTTATGCCACATAAAGTACACCAGGCAGAGGTGCAAGTGTCTTTTCATCAGGAGGTCAGTATGGCTATTGGATGGGCCGGCCTGGTCACTGCTGCTCCAAGAGCCGGCTTGAGAAGCACTTGTGGTTTAAGCCTTGAGCTTAAGTAGTTCTTCGAACCGCAGTAAGAGTCTAAACCCACCGAGCTCTGAGACAACTAACCAAGTAAGGTGAGGCAGGAGGAGACCTAGCACTTACCATGGCCTTGATCGCCTACTTTATTTCAGCCTCACGGAGGAAATTTGAAGTTGTCCGGTTGTCTGTTTTATTTTTAAGTGTCAGCAATACAACAGGAAACTCTTAGTCATAGCATATCCATTAAAGTTCATCACTGGTGAGGCCCGGCCAGGAGACTCCACCCCCTCAATCAATCAGCTGTTCCCACAGATTCACCTGAGTCCTCCCTGCACCATAACGAAGTGGACAAAAATGCTTCCCTGTCAATATGCCCAAGGTAGACAGGACGAGCATTGTGCTTTATCACTTCTCCTGACCTGGAGTCTAGCTCAGCACTTATTGCTGTGGTTGTGGAGGGCCATGGAGCCAATTTCAACTCAGCAACCCGATGTGACTGGGCTGACGGGTCCCGTGGGCTGGCATCTTCCCAGAAGCCTATTGGCAGATCTTCCTACCTCTGAGCACTGTAAGCTAGATGTTGTAGCAAACCTCTAGGGCTGGCCCTCACTTCCTAAGTGGGCTGCATGAGTCTCTCTGGACCTGTTGCCCCATATGTAAATGTGAATTGTATGATACCAACACCACTGTGATCACTAAGCGAGCTAATGCGTGCAAGATGATTAGCTGATCCACAGTGCATAGTCACCAAACAAGAGCCCTTGTTTGTATTCTCTTCTGAATTTAGCTATGATCCCTTGTTTTAGGGAAGTTTTGTGGATTCTGGAGACACGTGATCTTAGTTCCTCTATATAAGGGGGAAAGAAACAAATACTGATGAAAAGATCATGGAATTTTTTCCATGAAATTTTTGAAGCCCCTTTATACAATGTCTTTACTATTACTGTCATTGTTGTTAAATATTTAAATAAAAATCAAAGGCTATCTGTGCCAGGTGCAAACTCTTTCTGAGAACAGTACATCAGAATGGTCAATTGTGCCACAAACAAACCCAGACTGAACAGGAGGGGATTTTCAAAGTCTTTTTACGATCCCAAAGCCAAGAATGTGAGTGCTGATCATGTTTCTCATTCACCGTGGAGAACCACCAGGTCCCACCAGATGACTCTACTTAGGAAACTGATGACAGACAGACCCTTGGTTTGTAAGACTCTCTCTTCAATCAAAGTTGTTTAAAGACCCAATCGTTGTAACTTCCCGACTGGAAACTGCCTTAAAAAGCCTGTTTTCCTTTTGGACACTCCCTGTTCTCCAACAGCTGATCACTCAGTACACCCTGGGAATTCTAATGGACTCTTTAATCAAACGTCTTCTTTAGGGTTTGGTCCACTAACCTTGTCCTTGCCTCCTCCACTCCCACTTGCTCGCTAGCTGGTGTAAGGCGGCCTTTTCCAGAGGCGGCACCCTCAGGACAGGGAACCATTGGGCCCAATGTGCGCTTGTCCACGTCTGTGCTTTTGAGACGTCTAGGCTATCGTGTACCATACGGTGAATGCCCACAGATAACTGACGTCATTTGGCAGTTCTCAATCATGTGGTTAGGAGGAGAGTGCCCAGACCACAGGGTTAGAGACGGTCCTCTGGGTCACAGCAAGGAAGAGAGCCACCCCCATCCCACCCCCACCGGAGAATCCCCCCTGCAGGCCAGCCCTGACCTGACGCTGCTGTCTGTCTGTTTTCGCCTTGTGTGTTTCAGGCTGTCTGGGTCTGAGCTGCCCAGCGAGGAATGGCTGTGGGACTACGAGAAGCAAGGCCATCGGAATTCGGTGATCAGAAGAGTCAAGAGGTTCCTGAGCGCCCACGAACCCCCCTCCAGTCCCCGGAGGAGAAGCTTCTGGCGGCAGGCCAGCGACAGCTCCTCGTTCTTCCCCCCTGACCCCCTCGGGCCGGCTATGGACCTGCTGGACGTGCCCCCGCACGGGAAGCAGCCCCGCGGCCCAGCAGGGAGTCCCAAACTGCACTCCAGCGTGGGCGAACTGTCCACCATCCGAGAAGCCAGCCGCACGAGCACCATCCAGAGCCTGAGCCCGCAGTCCAGTGTGAGGGCCTCCCCCACCAAAGCGCCCGAGGTCCCCGAGGTCCGGGTCACGGCGGCCGAGGCAGATGGGCGCTGCCCAGATGCCACCGCCTCTCTCGTGGACTTGGAGTTCACCGGGGTTCGGCCCAGCACTGCGGGGCGGCCAGAGCGCCCCGCGGGTTTGATCCTGTCCCCCTCAGATAAGAGTCTCCTTCTCATGGGACCCAGTTCCCAGACTCTCGCCGGCAAAGCCGAGGGGCGAGCGTTCAAGTTCGGTTTCCAGGAGGACCCCGATGGGAATGACAAGTTCCTGAAAAGGTGGAGCCTCCCGGGGTTCCTGGAGTCCAGCCACACCTCCCTGGCCGGCCCCAACCCGGGCCCCGGGGGCGCTGAGCCCACCCTGCGCCTCGAGACTGACACGTCCTCGGAGAGCAGCGGCATCAACTTCGCGGCGGGCCCGCGCGTCCCCCCTCGCCTGCTCTACCTAATGGAAAGCCTGGACACCCCGGAAACCGACATCACCGGGTGCGACAGCGAGCAAGCCGAGGCGTCCCCCACAGGCGTGCCAGGACGTTCGAGAACGTTGTCCTAGCTTGATTCCTGTTTTCCCAGCAGGTTGTCTCCGAACTTCTCTGGGGCTGAGACACACACACAGAGATGTGTGTGTCACTGTATACGCTACCGAACCGCCTGCCAGCACGGTGATCTTGACTTTTCAAAAGCAAAGAGCCTCAGGTGCGTTCACGTCAGCCATCACCAAGTGGTTCCCACAGACCACAATGACATATCTTAACCAAATAAGGACTCTTAAAAATATGGATGCGACATCTAGTCAGATTGAGATAACAGTCCCTCCTCCTCCCCATTTTGTCTCTAAGGAAACGAAGGACCCACACAAAGGATATTCTCTCTCACTCGCTCTTCTTTTTCTTCCCTTTTTCAACTAGAAATCAGCAGCTAATGCCTCAAAAGCCCCTGCCCACTGATCATTCTATGTCTGGAGCTTTCCAATCATCTCATTTGTACTTTCAGTAACATTTTTGTCATTTCCTACTTCGTAACCTTTATCAGCATCAGAAAACTGCCCATTGCTTCAGTCTCCTCCTCTCCTCTCAGCTCTGCGTATTTTCTTGTCTCCTCCTTTTCCTCTCCCCTGCTCCCTCGGTGTGCACCCTATTTAAGGACGAATGCCCCACCCAGCAGGTCCTGATAGTTTCTCTTGCCAACTCTGTGCCTCACTTCTCATCATGCCTTTAAAAAAGAGCCACTGGCCAATCTCACAGAGCCTGGGCACAGCTGTCTGCAAACCCAACCTTGCACACCCACACACACCTTCGGTGGAAGGGGCATGCAAGTCCATGGTGGGCCGCTACACCCTCTGCAGCCATTGCCATTTCTCACGCTTCCACGCTTTGCACACTGGAGAAAATGGAAGTAGGAGAACACACACGCATATAACCAAACGCTATGGAACCAGATGCTCACCTGCCCTCAGCCCATTTAACTCCAAAAGTTAAGCAAAATATCCCAATCATACCACAACATGGGACCAGTTACTGGGTCGACCAGGTTGTCCGGGATAAGGTAGGACATTGGAGCTGGGAGGTGACGGGGGTCCAGAACTGCATGACAGGGTCAGACGATTGACCCCTCCCTCCAAAAGAGCCCTTGGATTGGCTGTTAGTGTGAGGATCCCCACCTGGGTCTGGAAGGCCGTGTCTTATGAATGCTGCTCTCACTATCTCTGTCATATGATGAAACTTAAGTACATACAACTTAATAAACAAAATCATAACAACAGCAACCATTTATTGAGTACTAACAGCGTTCCAGGCAGCAGCATGTAAAGTTCACAGGTAACCTCACGAATCCTCACAAGAATCTTATGAAGTCGCTATATCTACACTTCAAAGACAAGGAAAATAAACTCTGGAGAAATAAAAGAATTTGCCTTAAAGTACATGACCAAGAAAGGTGCTAGAGTTTGAGTTCAAACCCAACTTTATCTGACTCCAGAGCCCACACGCTTAATCACTGTTTGCTCTCTCTGCTGTACTGTCTTTAAGGCCCTGATTCTGTCAGCAATTTGCCCAGAATTTCAGAAGCTGCCCCAGGAAAGCCTTAGCCCAGGCTCTACTGCTGAAGTTCTCTGGGTCCTCCCAGCCTAAGCCGACCAGTGTGTCTTCTACACATTCACAAAGGAGGGCACTGCTACCGCTTTGAGGCCTAGCTAGAGTGCTCTTCGGTTTTCCTGACAGGAGAACATTCATTGTTTATGACAAAGGAAGCCCAACCCCTTCTGATATGCAGTGCTGAAATTAGAGCATCTTCACAAGAAAGACTTCATGTCTAATGAGGTGCCCTGACATTGACTGGCTTTTCTCAAAGGCCTGCAATGAAAACTCTATAGACTAGATGAAGTGCTATACCTGCCTGGTTCTCTGTGCAGATCCGTCAGCACCTGGGAAGGGACATGATCCTGAAGCATTAAGTGCATGCTATGGATTCAAGCCCCAATAGAACTGCTTTCAGCGGTGAGCCTTGACCTTTCCCCAGTCACCAGGCTCTTCCTGTTGTTTTCGTGAGTGGTTCAACATAAGTCTCCGCTCTCTCCTTGCTGGCCCTATCAAGTGCTCAAAGGTAAAGCTGTTTTTGAGAGATAATCATTTTATGTCCCATTAAATCCAAGGCTAATAGCTTGTATAGAGGACAATCTCTGTGTCACCCATCCTTAAGAACATTTGTCCAGCTAGCCACGTTATCTCCTCAATATTTCTTCAAAATCAGAGGTTGACTTTCCATTTCTCTTGCTCTGAGCACTGAGTAATGGGCCCTTCACTGAGTATATGCAGCTGAATTCAGCTATGAATTCAAGACAGCAATTACTCCGAGCACACTAAGAAATTCTGCACTCGCTCTAAAATGAGCTTGGGTTTTGTTTTTGAGCCCAGTGTCGTGCAAAGTTGCAAAAACAGGATGATGTCTTCTTCACCTAATTTCCTTGCCTCCCTGACCCTGTGCTCTAGAATCTTCTATCACCTCGACAAATGGTTCACAGCCGAATGGCTTTGTCTGTTTGGCTTGTCACTGCCAAGAACAGGCTTCGCTAGAAGAACAGGTTCTGAATTAAATAAGATCCACAATCCAGAGAGCATGTTGAGCCCAAGCCCTCTACGAGTAGGTTGCTCCTCTCCCCTCCCATCTCCAGAGGAAACTCCACCCTGAGACGGGGCCCAGTGCTTAGGTAGATAAAGGCCCACTCGCTCTTCCCCTGGAATCCAAGACTTTAGGGATGACTGGCCAGACAAAGCGAAGAAGGCTGCTTTCTCCCTCTGTTGTGGGCCCACCAACTTCTTTGGTTCCTTCCCTCCATATCTCCAGGCTCTTGGCATCAACTCTCAGCCTCAGTTACCAAAAATATGTTTTTTAATAGAAACATAATTCACCATTAGTTTAAAGAAAAGATTCACTTTCCCTTGTATCACTTTTTTGCTGTTTCCTGGCATTTTCATCTTCTCCAGAGAATGGGATTGCATCCTCCGTCATGTGTCTGAGATTCTTTATCCTAAAATCTGCCCTCTGGGAGTCTGCTGAGCCAGGAAGGCCACGTGGGGAGTGGAATCCATACTGCCAAATGGGCATCTGAATTCCCTCTTAGTAGTTTTACAAATTGGAACCAGTCCCCATCCAGCCTCTGGATCTCATGTTCACACCTGTGAGGTGGGCTACCGCTTGGCTCACAACACTCAACTGTTGTGAGAAATCATGAGAGTTTGTGTGAGAAGGCTGGGAAGTCCTTCCACTCAGCAACATGTCAATCATAAATGACATGACGGGCCTGCTGCTCCCCTGGATTCACGAGATGGTTAGGGAAGAGATGACACCTAGCCCTCATTTACCAACTGTCTTACCATCAGACATGGCACATTTTGTTGCTGGTTTTTTTACTTCACATAATTGAATTGGAAAGTCTAGTGCTCTTCATTTACTTCCGTGCTTCTCCACCTCCCTAATGCCGCGATCCTTTCATACAGGTCCTCAGGTGGTGCTGACCCCCAACCATAAGATTATTTTCGTTGCTACTTCATCACTGTCATTTTGCTACTGTTATGAATCAGGCAACCCCTGTGAAAGGGTCGTTCGACCCCCAAAGGGTTGAGAAGCGCTGATTTACTTGACCCTGCAACAGTTTAGCTCTGGTTCTCACAAACTGTTTAATAAACATCTGGTGATATTTATTGGGATCTAACTCACACGGTCATTTTCCTAATGAGCAAATTGAGTTCCTAGGGCTAGGGGAGTCAGCCTAAGGCACCTCAGGGAGAAAGACGGGGCTTTATGCTCTTGGAAAGAGTTCCCGGCTCAGAAGCTCCCGGGGGCAGCTGGACTCGGTCCCATGGGCTGGCTATGAGTGAGCGCGGCTCGATGGCAGTGAGAAGGCACTTCCACTCACTGGCAGTCCTGACTCTCTCACCTCCTCCTCCCGTGCACTTGGCTGCTCCCTCCAGACATGGCACATTTAAGACAATCCTGGACTCCCTCTCCATCTTTAGCCATCTGCACTCAGAATTCTTTTATTCTTCAGGATCCTAATCTTCATCCAGAAAGCTTGTATTCTAACACCATTCAACTCCCAGCTAACTAATGTTGTTGTTTCATGTTTGCCTTCCACAAGCTTCCCAATTTCTCCCTCATCCTCCTTTCTTTTTTCACTTCCCACAATATCCCCGAAGTCATCACCAATAGTGACGACTTCCTCTCTCACCCATCCCATGCATCAGTCGTGTCCATCGAAGGGCAGAACCGAAGAGAAGAGGGTCGCTGCTTTGGTTGGTTTGGCTGTGCATCAAGGGGCTTTAGAAGCCCTGGTTCAAGTAGGGGGTTCTCTTGGAGCAATGATTCCCTCTACATCTGCTTCTCTGCCAGCTAAGTAAAAATCATCCTGACCACCAAAAACCCTCTTCCCAAATTATTTTCACCTGCTCCTCCCACATCACCGTCACCAGCTACCTGAGCAACAGCACACATTTCCAATGTGCTCGGGTATTAATAAGATTAACTGAGAATTGTTCATATTTCAGTTTATTAAACTCTCTGAAGCAGATGCTAAATCCTGTACACATCCTGTTTTTCTTAAGCAGTGCCCATAGAAACAGCAGTCAGTAAATTACACAATGTATTGCATGTGGCAAATCTGCTGTAAAAGACCTCTTTATTCATTTATTTTTAAGATCATTTTATTGGGGGCTCTTACAGCTCTTATTACAATCCATACATCAATTGTATCAAGCATTTTTAGACATATGTTGCCATCATCATTTTCTAAACATTTACTTTCTATTTGAGCCCTTGGTTCCTCTTTTTTCTCTCCTTCCCCACCCCTCCCACCCTCATGAACCCTTGATAAATTATAAATTATTATTATTTTCCATCCTGGATCCTGTGTGTCGAGAGCTCTTCTCTGTACCATTGTACATGCTCTAATCTAGCCAGATTTGTAAGGTAGAACTTGGGACATGATAGTGAAGGGGAGAAAGCATTAAAGAACTAGAGGAATGTTGTGTGTTTCATCAGTGCTATACTGCCCTCTGG